CGGCCCGCGCCTCATGTCCCGCCGCAAGGCTGGTAGCGCGCCCCGCCGAGTCGACCCCGTGCCTGCCCCCCACTCCGACGACGAGATGGAGATGCCGGACCTCACCATCGATGTGAAGCCGGAGCCAGACGCCGAGCCCTCCCCGGCCCCGCGGCGGGAGCTCTTCGCCCCGAGCAAGGCGCCCCAGCTGGGGCACGCGGGGGGCGATCGCTGCCACTCTTCCGGCTGCCCGCCCGCGCAGGGCTCCCTCCATACCCCCGGCGCACCCAGCTCCTGGGCCCTGTGGACGACTCTGGTCCCTCAGGCATTCGGTAAGCCGCCGGGCCCCTGGCCCAGCGGGGCTCCCTACACCTGGACGCTCGGGTAGGGGGCAACGCCGGCCCCGGCCCCCAGCCCCCTCCCTGACCCTCCGGCTTCCCCTCTCCTTGCGAACCCCGGGCCCCCATCCTGGCCCCGCCCCCACGCTCACCACCCGCTTCCTCCCTGCAGACCGCCAGCCTTGGTCGGACAAACACCCCGATCTGTTGACCTGCGGCCGCTGCCTGCAGACCTTTCCCTTGGAGTCTATCATTGCTTTCATGGAACACAAGAAACAAAGCTGTCCGCTCTTCCGAGGCCCCAGGCCCGGCCCGGGCTCAGGTGAGTGGCCCCCCGCGGGCCCGGCGCTTCCTCAAGTTCAAGGGCTTCCTGCGGGGACCCGCGCGGCCGAGCTGGACAGGCAGGGCACTGAGCGCGACTTCCCCTTTGTGGCTCCCCTTGGGGTGCAGCCTAGGCGTGGCCAGGGCCTGCCCAGTCCTAGGTGGTGGGGGTGGGGGCCAGCCAAGCTGGGCGGGTGGCCCATTGGGTGTGGCCAGGCCCTGCAGAAGACTGGCCTGGGGGTTTGCCACAGGCACCCCCGAATCTGGTTTCACTTCTCCTTCCCCTTGGCCAGAAATAACTGGCCAGGTGGCTGGACCTAGGGTGGTAGTGAGGAGGACCTCTGGGAAGGGACCTGTGTGTTTGGGGAGGGTGGGGAGAGCAGCGACGGGGGAGGGGCAGCCCAAACCAGCTAGAGAGAGTGCTTGCCGCCCCTCCCACCTCCTCCACCCTCTGATGCTTTCTACTGTAGAGCCAGGGAGAGGGGCTGCTGTCCTCTGCCCCTGATGGAATCTCCCAGGCCTGGGTGGTGGTGGTGGGAAGTCCCCCAGGGCATCAGGACTCAAGGGATCCGGATCCCTGGGTCCCATGGGACTAGTTCACATGTAATACTTTTCCTGTCCTCTTTCTGGAGTCTCGGGTCTGCTCTGAGGGAGGGTCTGGAGGTGATAGAAAGGACCAAGGGAGGGAGGGACAGCAGTCCTGATGGTTGGGAGCTGAAAAGATCCCCTGGTGGGCTCCTGGACCATTGTGATGGGATTATTGGATTAGCCCGATTGGTTTTATTGGGGCGAGCCTAGGGTGCAGTCCCTGGTTAACCGCTGCAGCCTTTCGAACCAACCCACCCGCCCCGCCGCTCCTGGGGAGGCAGCAGCAGCTGTCTTAAGGGATTTACAGCCTCAGGGTCTCCATGAAAGGGCCCGGGTTGGCTTGGCTTAGGTTTGCTTTCGTGCAGATGTTGGGCCTTAAAAAGGGGAGACCCTTGGGATTCACGGATTGGGGCAGTTGAGGAAACTGAGGCTCAGATAGAACCCCGTCCTGGCCTCGTGGCTCTGGTGGGGAGTCAGAGGCTAGGTCCCCCCATCCACCCACCGAGAATTTGAAAGTGTAGGGATGCACCTGTCCACTGAGGTGCTCAGGAAAAAAAAAATGAATGTGGGGTGGCGCCATAGGTCTTGGTTACCACCTAGATCCCGGTGCCCCCTCTGTCCCAAGGTGGGGGTCACTAGATCGTGCAGGCCCGAGACAGAGAAACCCACGCGGGGATAGAGCGTCTAGGTGGGTGTGGTGCTTAAGTTGCCAGTCTCCAGATCTGCGGTGCTTTGATGCCAAACCCAAAGCAGACCTGTTGTCCTGGGGTCAACTCCGGCCCATTGTGGCCCTAGGGGGCAGGGTAGGACTGCCCCGTAGGGTTCCCGAGCCTGCCATTTCCTCCCCCTCGGAGCTAGGGTCGCTGGGAGGCAGAACTGAGAACCCCTCGCACATTGAGGGAACCATCTTCTTGAAAACGTGCTCAGCTGCTCCCCATATATTTGGGGGTGGGGCGTGCCCCTCTGTGCCTCCGTTTTCCCAGCTGGAAGATGGGGACCTGCCTTGAAAAGCAGGGCCTGGCACATAGGAAGCACCCACTGGCCTTGGTCCGCTCTTTGGCTAGCTAGCTGCTACCCCTGCCTGACGGGGCCTGCACCCTTTTCTTCCTTGTGGATTTTTACATCTCTGCCCAGGCGTCTGAACGCCAGCTAGGTGAGAACAGGGAGTTTGTCTGAGGACTGCCTTGTCCCCGCCAGCCAGCCGGCCTGCTGCCCTGAACAGCTGTCGGCTGTGACTACCAGGACTTTGATCACCTGAGCAGGAAGCTCCCCACTAACCACCTTGCCCGGTTCTCTTTCCAGAACACGAGGAGCTGCGTGTCTTGAACTGCCTTCGCTGTGGCCGCCAGTTCACGCATGCCTGGAAGCTGTTGCGCCACGCCCAGTGGGACCACAACATGTCTATCTACCAGACTGAGTCCAACGCTCCTGAGGCCCCGCTGCTGGGCCTGGCCGAGGTGGCCGCGGCCGTGTCCGCTGTGGTGGGGTCCGAGGTGGAGACCAAGGGCCTCCGGGGGAGCGGCCGCCGCAGCCCCACCTGCACCGTGTGCAAGAAGACCCTCAGCTCCTTCAGCAACCTCAAGGTACACATGCGATCCCACACAGGCGAGCGGCCCTATGCATGCGACCAGTGCTCCTACGCCTGCGCCCAGAGCAGCAAACTGAACCGCCACAAGAAGACCCATCGCCAGATGCAGACCCCGAGCCCCTGCTCCAGCGACTCGGGCCAGGTGCAGGCTGCCATCGCACCCCCGGAGCCCGCCAACCACGCCACCGCCCCTGCCACCGCCAGCACCCTTCAGAGCAGCCGTGGGGAGGGGGCTGCTGCCACCGCTGGAGTCCAGGAGCCTGGAGCCCCGGGGGGTGGGGCTTCGCAGGCCAGCCCAGGGGCTACCACCTCAGACCAGGACTCAGAGCCCAGCACGAGCCAGGTGTCCCCTCTGCCGCAGAAGCCAGCGGGCAAGAGCCGGGGCCCTGGGGGAAGCTGCGAGTTCTGCGGGAAGCGCTTCGCCAACAGCAGCAACCTGACTGTGCACCGGCGCTCGCACACGGGGGAGCGGCCGTACACCTGCGAGCTCTGCCCCTATGCCTGCGCCCAGAGCAGCAAGCTGAACCGCCACCGACGTATGCACGGCCAGGGCCCAGGCAGCACCTGCTTCCAGTGCCCCCACTGCTGCGTGCCCTTTGGCCTGCGTGCCACCCTGGACAAGCACCTGCGACAGAAGCACCCTGAGGCGGAAGGGGGCGCCTGAGATTGCCTGCCCTGCCTGTGATATTTGTAGCCCTGTTGCCCTCCGTTCCCAGTAAACGGAGCCTTCTCGGCCCCCCACGTGCTGGTGTGGACTCTTTGTTTTTTTGGGGGGGCCTGGTATCTGAGGTGGGGTGGGAGGCTCCCCTGCTTGGGGTGGACGGCTGGACAGACCGGTTTGGGGTGAGGGGGTGAAGGACAAGGCCGGCCCCCTGCGCCTGGGGCGGCTGGCACGGGAAGCCGCGCTCCCGGTTCCCCGTGTGGGTGAGGCCGGGGCAGGGGCCGAGGCGAGGGCGGGGAGCGGCCTGGACCTGTCGCCAGAGGCCCCTGGGCAAAGAGTCCCTGCCCAGGCTCTGTGCGGGGTGCGGGCCGGTGCCCTGTCCACACCTGCAGGCAGGCCTGGGCCCTCCCACAGCCTGGCGGGGCCCGCGCCTCGCCTCCGCTTTGCAGCCCACACAGCAGCTCTGAACAGCAGCCTGCTGTCCCTGTGCTGGCCACGCATCGGGCTTCCGTGAGGCGGGGATGCCACCAGCGCCCAGACTGCTCCTGTCTGTCCCACAAGGGTGTGCCCCGAGCCCCACCCCCAGACCCAGACCACACTGAGGCAGGGAAGGGAGTTAAATAACGTTCATCTTTATTCCGCCAGAGAGAGCCAGTAGCATGGCAGCTGGAACCCTGCCCCCCATAGTTTGGACCCTCCACAGCACGCCCCACCCCCTTTGCTTAGTGCCGGTAATGGGGACTTCGAGAGCGGGACCGTGATCGCCTAGAAGAGAGAGAGGGGTGATCTCGTGAGGGGAGCTGGGTACCCAGGAGCCTGACACCTCCTGTCGCCCCACCCCCAGCATGCTGGGAAATTCCCCCCCACCCCACCCCCACCCCCCAACACACACTCGGGGCCTGGATGACTTAAGTGGGACAGACTGGGGACTGGGGCTGCAGGGAGCCGCCCTGGTGGAGTGCGGGGCTCCCAAACTGCAAAGTGAGTGGTTCAGGCCCACCAGCAGCTCTGAGCAGAAAGGTGAGGCTTCTGATCCTTGAGAGTTACAGCCTCGAAAACTCACAAGAGCAATTCTATCTTGTCCCGGGTGAAGCTGGGACTGGGGCGGGCGGGCGCCTGCGTGCATACCAGGTCTGGGCCCTCCCATCAAATGCGAGGGCAAGAGGAAGGAAGGCTGCCTGGCTTACCTCCTGGAAGAGCTGTATTCCCGACCTGGGAAGAGAGGAGGAGGGTGAGACAGAGGAGTCCAGAGCTGGCCTGGATGCTGGATGCCCTCCAGACAGGTTAGGCAGGGGACCTGCCACCCCACCCCACCCCTGGGACGGGCTCTGGCTGAAGCAACCACAGGTCATGTACCGCAGGCAAAGGGCCGTGGACAGGCAGCCCGGGTGGGTGGGTGGGGAGGGACGAGGACACTCACTGTAGCGGGGGGAGGGGGAGCGGCTCTGCCGGCTGTACTGACGTTCCCACTCTTCCCTCTCCTTCTCCCGGCGCTCCCGCTCCCTGCAAGGAGGTAGGGAGGTGGTCAAGGGGAAGTGGGGGGGCGCCCTCCTTCAGGCAGTGGCACTCAGCTGCACCCAGAATAAGCAGAGGCCCAGGTCCACGTGGCTCAGAGGGAAGAGTGGTGGGGTGCTAGGGGAGCGGGTGGTGGTTCCATCACTGCCCAGCTCAGGATGCCAGCCTGGGCTCAGGAACCTGCATGTTCTGAGCGTCAGCATGAAGGGGCTCCACTTCAGGGGTGCCTCCTCCAGGCCTGCCCTGATCTGAGTGGCTGGGGCCTGAGAAAGGGCCCTCGTGGCGCAGAGGCCAGGATGAGAGGCCGTTAGCTGTTCCCGCCACTCTGCCCTAGAAGTCCAGCACACAGCAGGAATGCTGTCCACAAGGACCTCCACACCAGCTGCTCCCAGCCACACTGGCCCCAAGGCCTCTCAGATGAGCACCCCTGCTCCGAGGTAAGGGTGGAACCTGGCTGCCCACTCCTTGCCAATGCCCAGCCCACGGCCCTTGGAGGGCCAGGTCTCAGGCCCCAACTGTCAACACTGCAGGCAAGGTCAAACAGCAGGAGGCAGAGAGGAGCCCAGTCTCCCAGCACTGGGCAGGACCCATGCAGGAGGACGGGTGGTTGGCATTTCCCCCTTGAAGAGCACTGTAGGTTATGCAAGTGGCCCAGGCCCTGAGGCCACAGCTGGAGCGGCTGCTGCCCATGAGGGAGCAAGCGAGTGAGGGGGCTCAGGGCCACAGCTGTCAGCCGGGGTGGGCTGGGGGACAAGCAGGGCAGGCCTCCGAGCTAGCAGAGGACAAAGCAGGAGGAGGCCCTGAGACGGGTGAAGGTGGGACCTCACTCTCCAGGTGCCGGCAGGAAGCAGGTAGACCTGCTCCACGGGCTTCCAGAGAAGCCTCTGGGTGGGTCTGAGCCGCCCCCTGCAGGCTAGCTCGCTCGAGTGGCCCTCAGAGCCACTCCGATTCTGGGATGGAAGAGGAGGGCGAAAACGGGGCTGGAGATGGCCAGTCTGCTCAGCCCTGAGGCCTGCCTCGGGGGACCCTCTCAGGGGCAGGGTGGGGTACAGGGAGGGGCCTCGTGGCAGGCCCAGGGTACAGAGACCGCGGCTTGCTCACTTCATGCGGATTTTCCGGGCCATGGCGCGCAGTTCGTCCTCCCGCTCCTGTGGAGAGAGGCTGTGAGGCACCACCCCCGGGCCACGTGTGCTCCATGGTGTCCCACCCGGAGTGGGCAGGCCTTCCCGCACGGTGTCCAGTACCTGCCGCTCATGTTCCTGCTGGATCATCTTCTCCTGGGCCGCCTTTTTATCCGCCCTGACTGCAGGAGGGACAGTCCGGCAGTTACCCTCAGCGCCCACCGCCCCCCTCACCCTCCGGGAGACACTGGAGCAAAGGGCCAGCCTCATCGGGGCTGCCGCTCGCAGAGGGCGGGGAAGGGGACACGCACACTGTCTGTTCAGGGCCTTTTGCATCCGCAGCTTCAGCTTCTCTTGTGGTGTCAGCTTGGGCTGGGGGAGGAGAGACAGGGCTGGGTGGGCATCCTGGGGCACTCAGCCCACCTCAGCTAAGAGCCTGGGACTCGGGGGTGGGGTTGAGTGGGTGGAGGGGCAGGCTATGCACACCTGCCACCAGGTTCTGGGATGCTTGGGGACAGTTGCATGGTCAGAAAAGGAAGCAGGACACCCCCGGACCCTCCACCACTGGGGCTGGCTCTCCCACCCCCCACCCCC